ATACAGTGCAGCTTCAGCTGACCTCCGGGGAAGGTTTATTTGTGCTTCTCTCTATTTCTTTTCTGTCATCTTCCACCAGTTCATCCATTTCTGCCTCTGACACTTCTCCTTGTATGTTTCTCTGTCAGATGTTTAACACAGGTAAGGCTGAACCCCCCTCTTATTACCTGGCACATCTTACCTGCCATCAGGCTGGCAAGCCACGGGTCACTTGTGTTCTTCCCTCTTGTCCTCTGTAGGTACATAAGCTGTTCCTTAATCCCGCTCCTCTTTCTTTAAACCCTTTGTAATCTAGCCCACCTTCTCCCCCCATGCGGCTGGAAAGGTTGTGTTTCTGTAAGGTTAATCATCAGCAGGGAACTTTGCTTGAGACCTGCTGCCCTTCATCCTCTGACTCCTGCCTATCTCCTCAGCCTTCAACTTACTTTTTTCCCTTTGGTCCATCTCTTTGATTCCTTGCAAAAACCTTCAGGCACCTTCTTTTAATGCTCCTATAGGCTCGTGACCACAAAGCAGCTGAAAACAGTGCCCCAAATGCTCGTGTTTGGTACAAGTTGTTCAGATCTCAGAGAAGGTTTAAGCCCAGGCAGTGTACCTGCTATCCTCTGGAAAAGAGGTCGCATGTAAGAAAGCAGCTTGCCTCAAGCAGAAACTCCATTTCCTTTTGCTTTTGCTTTTTTGATATTTTTTTTTTATGTATGTAGTGTCTTTCTTTCAAGAAGCAGGTGTGGGCTGTCAGAACAGCAGGTTCAGTCCATCTCAACTGCAGTTTTGCCTGCTTCAAAAAAAGAGACAGCTGCTGTCTCTTATTGTCTTAAAGATTATTGAGTGCGTCTGTCGCCTGCTCCATAAAAGAAGGAAGATATCTGAAAAACATCATTTACTGCTAAAGGAAAAAGAATTTCGCATAGGAAATTATTTCACTTTCCCTACTATTCTTTTTTCATAAGTTTTGGGTTTTGGTTTTTGGTTTTGTCTTTCTCCCCTTCCTTGGGCTTCTGCCTGTAGTAGAATATAGCAGCCACGATAATTTTATCCTCGAAAACTCAGACATCAGGTAAGAACTTACAGCCAGAAAATGGCAGGGTCGTTCTAAGACTTCTCACTTCCTGAGGCTGTTTGTTTCATAAAAATTATGGCAACACTTTATATGTTTTAGTGTTAACACTTTCCAAAGTACGTATGGAACCATCCAATCCCATGAGCAGGTAGTGTGGGTAACCACCGAGTCTCACTACCTGTTAACCTTTTTGCTGCTAATTCTTCTAATATTTGTTTATGATATTTAGTCAATCAATATTATGACTTTTTTGGAAGAGGGACTGTGTTTTCCATGCAGTTTCTGTACAGCAGTTAGCACAGTGTGACTGAATCTTTACAGGAGATTTGGAAAAGTAAACTGACAGAACAACATTACAATGGAGAAAATAGCTGATGTTTTTGATGCCTGGGGGCCAATCCTTATTGCTTTTAGGGCTGATTGATACTGCCCTTGCTCTTATAGTGAATACTTTGGTTTCTGTGGGGAATTTCAGCAGCTCTCGGCCAAGTTCCGGTTTCTAGACTCCTCTAATGGTATTACATGGGCTTGATGTAGCTAATGTCCTGTGCGGTACTGCTAAAACCAGATGAAAATCAGTGGTCTGTAGCTCTCCTTAAGCATGTGCTCCCTCCTTATGCTGCCAGTAATGTATTCTTGTGCAGCTCCTCACACAGATGTACTAGCTACAAAATCCTCCAGTAAAGCAAATGCAATAGCAGCTGCTCAGCAGGGAAAATCCAATTGTCTTGCACTGGGCAACTATCGATAGTGTAATATTTTTGATTGTTGCAGAGAGAACGATTTAATTTCCTTCAAGGCAGCCTCAGTCACTTTGGTCCCTTTGCAAAATATTTCTTTCCCTCCAGCTTTAGATCTCTCTTTTGCTGAGACAGGTGTTGAGGAGAGGGATGCATCATAAAGGAGAAAACGTAACGAAGCTGCAAATGTACTAAACCGTTGCAAGTAAAATAATATACTTGAAGAGTATGATCTGTAGGAAGTGAAAAAAACATCAAGTGATAGTAAGAGTACTCAGAGGAAATTGGTATGTTAAGCCACCTCCTCACTGAAAGGTGACAGAAAGGAGTTAATAATTTAAGGCAGGCATAGAGGGAAAACTTAAGCTATTTTGAAGACATACTGAATTATGACCCTCAGAAGTGAAAACTAATTTTTCTGAGGGAACACAATGAAAAAAAACCAAGTTGACTACTAATGGCTTTTTTCTTTCTTTTTTTTTTTTGTTTTTAACCAAAAATAAAATAGTATTGGTCAGCCTGTAATACTGAGTCATTAAGAGAACTCATGTGTCCCCTTCTTTTTGTGTTATTTCTCTAAAATACTTAAATAGCAAGTGGATAGGTTGTGATTTTTACCTAGCATAATAAAATTCAGAGTAGTAAAAATCAGAAACAGGAATTGAAAATAGTGTCTTAATAAATTGCATCAGGATGAATACATAGAAGTAGTATTGTCTGGACTCCTCAATACTTAAAGCCATTTTGCATGGCTCTTGTTTCATGCTGTTAAACACTATGTTATCGAAACTGTCTCTATAATTAACATCAAACATTAACAGCATGACTGTGGGAGTTTCCTCTTCTGCCTGCCTATTGGCTATGAGTAGTTATCCCTTCCTGTAGCATTTGGGCCAGCAAAGCTCTGCTTGGCTAAGAGTATGGGGGGAAAACTTGATTTCCTTCACTGGTACAAAAGTGTTAAAGTTATCTGTCTGGTGGCTGTGCAGAGAACTCGTTGGGTACCTTTTACAGTCCTCATGAGGAGGTGGCAGTCAGTGGGATAAATTGGCATTTGGTGATGTGGCTCTTTAAGAAAACCACATCAGGGACTGAATGCCTCTGTGTTGTGTCGCAAATGGAACAGCACTGTGAAGCTGGGCCTGCCTTTCTATTCTCACTCACATCAAAGATCCTTGCAATGGTGTAGTCTCTATGCTATGTTATTGAGGTTATTTCTGTTGTTTGCCTTTTCAAAATAATGTTCTGGCAGCTCTTGTCTGTCTTGGTAAAACATCTTTCTTACTTGAGCAGAATTTGCTAGCTCAGTGGAGGTCCATTACCCTTCAGTGTTGTATTCATGTACAAAAATGTTTTCTGTAAAGCCTCTATTAGCTGTGATTTAATGGTTGTTCAATGCTGCTGTTTTAAAAGAACCTCCTTAATGTAAGAAGTCTTTTCTTCTCAGTTTGACACATGAAATAAAAAGAACTTCTTTGTGTAGGTTGACTTGGACTTTGCCATGTTAATGACTAGCTAATCCAGGTCCAAAAAGTAAAACCTTGGAGCTGCTGCCTGATATAAATATAAAAGAGTTGCTAAGTACTGAAGCAAGAGCTTGGCTCAGAAGCTGCATAAAGTTGAGCTAGTCATAGCCCTGTGCTTATGTGGGTTTCATTCAGACTTCTATGTTGCTTACCTGTTGTGGCCTTAAAATTGAGGATTAAAAACTTTGTATACGACACTGCATGAAAGGTGAGTCAGCCAAATGAGAAAAGAGCAAATAACCAACATTGCATGCTGTCAGACTTTGGAAAATAAACTCAGGCTATGTGCATTGGAAGTAATTCAGCAGGCCAGATCCCAGAATAACAAACATCTGCATGTGCTCCAAATGAGGTGAAAAATTGCTAGGTGTATGAAGCCCAGATACTGCAGGAACGGGGCCAACAGAAATAAGTGCTGAATACAGCACCCCCTTGGCAAGGCAACCTAGAGAGAATGTACTATATTAGTACATTTGCTACTAATTATTTTGAAAGGGCAAATTACAGATGGATGTGGTTTAAAAGATAACAGAACAGATAACAGGTTACTGTTGTGATGGGCCAGAGTGCAAAAAAGGGCATCCCCAAATGTCCATGTGCACTGGAAGCAGGGTTTTGACAATGGTATTGGGGGAGAAAAGGAGGCCGTGGAGTGAGAGGAGTGCTTGGGGCTCCTCCACTGCAGCATACCCGAAGCTGCTTGCAGCAGTCCAACATCATGCAATTCTGAGTTGGCTGTGCAGGGTGAAATGAGGACAGCAGCATATCTGTCTTTTCATAATGTGCATGCGTGATAAAAGGGGAAGATTCACTATTAGTCAAATCTAGTCTTATAAACCTGCAGGAGGCAATTTTTTTTTTCTCTTTTCCTGGCTATTAATTCTATGCAGAAAAGACACTTTGCCAATATTTTCCTTTCAATCCGGAGCTATAGGCACTTTTTCCAGAGAAGTACTTGAGGGAACACTCGAGAAGAGGATGCCATATGGTCTCCTTAGGGGTGTATTTCAGATAAAGGATTTTAAGCTTTAAGTTTATTCATCAAAATGTGCTGTGTATGCTATTGGTGTACAAGTTATTTTCTACACAGTGGGGAGAAACCCACCTGATGCCTTCTTGCAGGGCATTCAGGTAATGCATAAAATGTGAGACCAAAGGGGGATCTGTAGGCATGACTACTGCTGATGCAGGCTTCCCTGGGCTGGAGCTGGAGTGTCTTTGCTCCTCCTGTCCGTGCATAGGTAATATGATTTCCCCTTTAACTATGGTTCCACAAACCCCAAACATGAGGAGTCCGATACCCAATGCATCATCTGAGCTCCTCTGTCTCTGCTCTGTCTCCTTGTGGTCCTGTAAAATTCCCCTGAAGGAGAATCTGAAGGAGAATTAGGATTGCTTATGTTTTCTCTGTGACTTTTTATATTTAGGAAAGACAATTGCAATATTAACTTATTTATTTATTTCTTTGACAAGATTTTGGATTAGGTGGTTGACTGCCAGAGTTGGGTTATGGCTGAGCTGCATTATGTTCCCTTCCCCCTCCCAACTTTCATGTTTTAGTAAGTAGTGGTGTTTTGTTGTTCTTTTTTTTTTTTTTTTTTTTTTAATGTGGAATACCAGAACTGCTATTTTTGACTATCTAAATTTATTAAAAAAATGTTTGTATCCTCTAAGGGATGACTCAAGCATGTAAAAAAAACCCCCTGCAATGTCAGAAGCTGTTTGCTCCCCATGCTGTCTCATGAAAGGCTGTCCCTGGAGCCTTTTCCTGTGTTGAAGCAGCTGGAGAAGCCCTTCTCCCTGCTGAAGGGGAAGAGACTGACAGAACAAAGTCGTTCATTGCCCACTGTGTTGCTGATCCCTCCTCAGCCAGCTGGTTTCGAACACAGCCTGGTGTCAAGTTTGTATTTCAGAAAGCTAATTATGCCGCAATATGTGGATAGCTATAGTTGAGAATTCGCAGCAGAAGTTCCAAAATAAGTGTTTACTGCATTGCTGTGTATTTGTTTTCACCTGTGTAAGATGCTCTAGACTTGCCTAAACAAGGTGGAGAGATGTTTTAAATGAATCGAGGTGGAAATGAGGTATTGGTTTTTGGAAAAAGTCTTCTAGATATTCAGGAACAAATAAATTTGAAACTTAGTGAAAATAGTTTGACATGTTTTACCCCTGATAAGGCAAAAGTGGCAAAATGCTTGTGTCCTTGGCATATAGAGCCTGTTCATCTGCAGGATCTGCTACATTCTAATTAAGGGCTCAGTGAGGGACCTGACCCACAGTTTGGAGGTGCTTATTAAATTCCTTTGGTTTCAGCCACTTGCTGTGATAATACAGGATAAAAATTTTACTTAGAGGATAATAAGAAACCATTCTTGTTGGAGACTTTGCTGCGATATTTTCAGAGGAGATATACAAGTTCTAATTTAATGCATAATGAATAATCTAGTTTCCTGTTTGAAACTTAAGGCCTTCCCTCAGCACTGTTTCATGCACCAGCTGCTTGTGATGCCTCTCCTGTGGCAAATAATAAAAAAAAAAAAAAGGCATTAGTAGCTCAAGAAAATTAAGAAATACCAAGGTCAGGAGACTGCTGACATGGATAATGAAAGAAATCAGGAAGGTGAGAGGGCAGACAGAGTATCAAATGTCTTACAGAAGGCTGAAGTGGAAATTTCATTGTTGAAATGAGCTGGGATAAGATCAGGCCTCTGAAGATGGTTGATGGAGGTTGGCATCTCCACTGCAGATGCAGGGAAGGGTAGAAGTGGCTGTAGGGCATAAGCGGAAATCTCTCCAGGCAGTGCTGCAAGGGCGATGCGTCAGTAGGATGCTGTGAAGAAAGTAATATGTTGAGTCTGGCAAAACAGAAGGGAACAAATTGTAAGCTGAGGTAAAAATTAAATGAAAAAGAATAAAAAATACTTTTACTTTAAAAGCGCTAGCATTTTGAATTTGGAGGTGAGAAGTGATTTGAAATGTTTTTTGTTTAAGCAAACACAGATATTGAATATTTTTAGAAATGGAAGAACTTCTTATTTTTAATTTTCAAGTTTTAAACCCCATTTGATCTTTCCTTAAACAACTCAATTAAATGTAAAAGAATAAAATTGTTCTATGAATAATTTCAGTTAAAATGATTTGGATTTGATCAAAATATTTTGCTCATCTGTCCCAGTGAATAGCATCAGATCAAATGTCTTACTGTGTTTAAAGGCGGATTTAGGATGGTGTCTTGTTGCACAATTATTGATGAAATTCTTTAAACATTTGTCACCTTCATACTGTGTGCAATCCAGCTTCTCCCACCCTCAGGGTAGGAGAGCTCTTGAATATTCTGAGTGAATTAATTAGTGCACCAGTGGTGATTATTTCTACCACCTCTGGACAGTACAAAGTTTTTGTTATCTTTCACATAGATAGAAAAAAACCCAACAACAACCCCCCCCAAAAACAACAGAATAAATGACTGGAAAATCATTTCTGAAAAGAGCATGATAATGAATTATTAACAGCACAAATAGCAGTGTCAGGGATACTTGTTTCAATGGATATGTAGTAAAATTAATTCTACAATTAAGAGAAGAATTAATGATATAAACTGCTGTTATAATGATGTTTTAATGGCTGGAACAGACTTATTAGAAAACAGTTAATTTACCAAATGCAGTCCAAACCCTACAGGAGGTTAAATGTAGTCCTTAAGACTAAATGAGTTATGCAAAGCTTTGGCATTTAGATTTATATTTGAACTAAACTTTTTACTTGAATTATCAGTAAATATTAGATTAAAACTCTCTTGCTAAAAGTACATTATCACTTCAGGTGACCTGAATTGAGACTATAACCTCCAGTGACATGGTCACTGTATACTTGCAGTTTTGCTCATAGAAATAATTGGTTTCTTGTTAGGAGATTTTTAGGACCAGTAAAGCTTTGCACAGCAAATAGTTCACTTCAGGTTATGCATGCTGCTTTTCAAATCTCTGCATTATAGAATTGCAGTTTGATTGTGGAGAACCCAAGAAGCAAAAAGCTGTTTAAATCAGATGAATGGCATAATAGGTATGCCCAGCTTTTTTTAGGTGTTTGCTGTAGTCTTCATGTTAAATAGTACAGGTACACAATTTATAAAGAAACTGCTGAACAAGCACAGGGACTACTTACTGTAAAGCTTCTCACTGCTGTATTGTTAATCTATAATGTGCAACCTATAGATCTTTAACAGCAAATTTACAGATGAGTGATAGACAATATAGCATGCTTTACAGCAGTTCTTCATAAGGAAGCAGACTTGATATTTAATCCTTTCTGTCACTAGAAGTTTAATTGGAAAAAGTTATGAACTAAGTGCTTAAATTCTTGTTAATGGGCAAGTAAACTAAATTGTCTCTAGAATTACAGTTCAATAAGCTATTTAACCTCTGTGCCTCGAGCTCACATGGAAAGCAGTGGATGAAATGGCTCTGATTCAGTGTCTCACCAGCTAGTGGTATGTGGTTAGAAGGAGGAGGACCCTCCTACTCAGGAGCACTTCTGCCTCTAGGTCCAGGCATATTTTGTGAGTATATGAAACTGCAAAATTATATCACAGAACAGTATCAATCTGTGTAAGATAAAGGTGTTTAACTTGTGGTAATGTTTCAGGTGCTGCTTCTTTGTCTTGTATAGCATATTGAAATGGAATAAAAATAAAGTGTGCTCTTATATTTTAAGGATAGTATCTTTCTGCAGTGCTATGAAGAGCAATCTAATATAATCTTCGTTGCACCTACTAAACTTGACCTGCTTTTTGAATACTAATGTGAAAACAGAAGGAACAAAAAAAGGACTGAAGTTGGAGCCTGGCTCTTGTTTAAATGATAGGAGGTGGTTGAGAATATATACACAATAGCCTATGAGATCATTTTAAGCACTTCAGTGGTTTGTGATTAGGATTTTATTTAGAAGAAAGAAAGGGAGTTCACCCACCCCTAAAAGCATTGCCACTGTGAAGTAGTTAAATACCACAGTGTCTGACCTTATGTTGACACGAGTAATGCGCCAAACACATCAGTACTGCTCAGCTACTGATGTGCAGTGTGCTTGCAAATGCACAAGCAGACACAGAACATAAAACTTTACCAAAGAGACTTTGGCTTGAAATAGGGGCAGAGCACTGCCCTTGCTGTCTGTCAGGCAGACCAGCACTGGAACAGCCCCCAGTTTAATGATGATGAAGCTTTGTCTCCAAAGAAAGCTGGGTGACCTTCTGAATATGAGGGAATAAAATGCATGTCAGTAGAACTGTCCAAACTCTCTGTGTATGTGGGTTTTGGCTCCAAAATAAAGTGTTAAGAGCTTCAGCCTGCAAACCAAGTTATGAAAGGAGACTTGAGATACGAATGTGCTCTCCAGAAAAGCTTGCAGAAAGCTGGTCTGGGAAAATAATGTGGGAGGGAAAAGTGTCTGAGCCTTAGTCAGGCTTATTTATTTCATTCAGCAGATCTGTCTTCTGCAAACAGTTATAAGGACATGGTCTGGTTTGGGTGTTTTTGAGAAAAGGGTTTCTTTTCATGTATAGCTCTAACTCAACAAGACGATAAAGGTTTAGGTGATTTTAAAGCAAATTTAGTAAAAAGAAGGCATTCTTCACCCCATGTAGTGATAAATCTGGAAACGGGGTGTCAGTGTTCCTGTTGGCCAAGGTAGTACGGTCAGGTAATGCAGAGAAGCCTCTTCTGATATCAGAAGGGTAGGAAATAGGCCAAGAATGCAGTATCCTGCTTTTACTAGGAATTTAACACCTCAAAAAGCTCTCCTTGTATAATTAGTATGGTTCTAAATCATTTAATAAGGGTGAAGAAAAACCTACATATGTCTGTGCAACATTTTCTGCATTGCTGTCTGCTAGTGGCCTATAATTATATAGCCATGAAATGACTGTCAGGAAGTAAGACCAACCAGCCATTTCTGATGTTAATTGCACATAACACATGGCTTTGGAGTGTTTGTCAGTGGCCCTCATCTCTCAGGTTTCACTGTTCATTGCAGGTATCAAGTGTTTTTGATTGTTCCTTCTAAATGCAACTGGGGAAAAGGCAGCTGCTCCCTGATGGGTGTATTTCCAGTGTCATCTGTCACTCCCAAAGCATGGCCAGCATATGCACCACATCGTTGCAGTTGACTCCTAATAGTGAATTTACCTTAATGACTTGCTGTGGCTCTTGGTGTCTCTGCTGCCTAAAGCTATTAATCAGCAAAAGATGGATTGTATTACAGCAAATGATGCTACTGCTGTTATCTTCTTGTTGTGGCACAGAAAATAAAAGGCTTTAGGGAGTCTGGTTTTGGAACCTTTTTGATATAAATTTATGGCAGATTTAAAACTTCTTTGGGTCCAAGAAATCCAGTGTTTAGAAGGCTGGTGCCAGAGGTGCTCTAAAGAGGTGTCTGTTGACATTGTTTTCCTTTTAACTGTGGCAGAAATGTAAATCTCAATTTACTGTGCATATATCATATCTCCTGAAGAGCAGATGGTGCCCTGCAAGCTGACAGTGAGCAGGCTTTCTGTGTCTTGCTTTTCTCTTTCTCTGTTTCCCATATGCCCTTTGAAAATGAAAAGGAGAAGATAAGTATGTGCATGTCTGGGTTAATTTTAATGGCACTAAGCCAACTTGCTGTCCCTACACTCCCCTTTTAAGTGCAGGGTGCTGGAAGCCCCTGCTCTGGTTGGGGTTTTCTTGTGTCACGGTGCTATGGAGTTTGGTGTGCTTGTGCTGTGACCTTTAAGATTGATCTCCATAAGCAGCATTTTTATAAGAGCCAAAACACTACACAGAAGCATCCCTGTTCTGCACTCCTCATCAGGAAGGCTGCTTGGGCTGGGAAAGGCTCTTCTAGATGGCTAGGAAAAGAGTAAGTTGTGGTCCCACTTAATCTCCCTGTAGCCTACTGAAGTAATGACCTTCTTCAAGGGATGATGCAGAAAAGGTTGCTCAGAGGGAGAATTATTTCAAATGGGGAGAAGAGGTTGATTTGTGAAGGTACCCTACTGGCAACAGAGGCCTCAAATAAAAGGAAAACATAATAGAGTAGAAGTACCCATTGTTCTGTGAATAAGAAAAAAGATATTTCTTTTTTTTATTTTATGCTAGCATAATAGTGAGCTACTAGCAATAAATTCCATTAATTTTGTGAGTAATGGGAAAGAAGAGACAATTATTACTATTACTAGACAAAAGAGAAACCTTTGTGGCTTCAGTGAAAGTCTGTTGAAAGAGAAATAAACATGTAAATGATGCCAGAGAATCATTAGCTGGTGGTGATAAATATAATAAGTGACATTAGTGCAGAAATAGCAACACTAGTAATTTGTGTGTGTTAAATTTTCTATGAGACCTGTCGTAGTTCAGTGAAAGAGGGAATGATGGCATGGTACCAGAGGACATTGCTGTTGTTTGGTACATGCAGTATGAGTCCAGCATAATTTTAGAACATGTTGGCTGGGCCTATAGTTACAGTTTAGATGGAAATTCTTCCTGCTTTAAGTGTGAAGGCAATACTGTTAAAAGCAGCTTGGAAAATAAAATCGTGGAGAGATACAGTGAGGGGAAAAATAGAGGAGAGTGAATTGTGGAAGAAAAATGTTAACCGTAACAAAAAGATGTAATGTGCGTGTATCCGAGTCCTGATTTCATCTGCCTGTACCGTTAATGGATCTGGCAGAAAGGAGCATGTGTGCAAATCCAGATGCTTGGTGCACAGATTAAGTAGGTGTGCACATAGTCATGTGCATGTTCATCAGTTAAATTCAGTTCTCTCCGTACATAGACAAAGGTTAGCAGATGAGCTTTTGTGTCTTGTCTAGTTGCTTTTCCTCTGAAAGGGTCTTAGACAGAAAATTTTTTGTTAGAAACACAGTTAGGAAAGGGGTTTTGCGTAGTGTTGGGGTTGGGTATGTTAAATAAAGCAGCCCCTGTTTGTGTTGTTATTTGATACAACATTGCATTTTATTAGCTACATATTATATCACAGTACGCTAGAGATTGGAAGGGACCTCAAAAGATCACCTAGTCCGATCCCCGTGCCGGAGCAGGAACACCTAGGTAAGTTTACACAGGAACGTGTCCAGGCGGGTTTTGAATGTCTCCAGAGAAGGAGACTCCACAGCCTCCCTGGGCAGCCTGTTCCAGTGTTCTGTCACCCTCACTGAGAAGAAGTTTCTTCTCAAGTTTAAGTGGAACCTCTTGTGTTTCGGTTTGTACCCATTACCCCTTGTCCTATCATTGTTTGCCACTGAGAAGAGCCTGGCTCCACCCTCGTGACACTCTCGCTTTATATATTTATATACACTAATAAGGTCACCCCTCAATCTCCTCTTCTCCAAACTATAGAGAGCCAGCTCCCTCAGTCTTTCCTCATAAGGGAGATGCTCCACTCCCTTAATCATCTTAGTTGCCCTGC